AGCGCGTTATTCCTGCCGGGGCCGTGCCGGCTCCGCTGTCTCTCCAGCCTTGCGCGACCCAAGTAGCGCTTCTTGTTCTTTGCGAAGGCTTTGTTCGTGGTCCCCGGGCAGCGCTCCTCCTCGGCTGGAGCTGCTGAGGGACACGTTTCTCCTTTCTAGCTGTTCTCAGGGAAACCGCCCGGCACAATCCTCAAAATGCGAAGGAATTAATGTTTTGTAATTAAATTCTTCTAGTAATTATAAGCTCATCAAAATCTACAGAGAGATGCGGCGTAAAAATAGTTGGAAGGAAATAGTACCTGTCCCTTTCACAGTGGTGTTACCCCTGCTAGTGCATACCGAGATTTTAAATGGTCAGCAGGACCCAAAACTCTGCTACTTGGAAAGTTCTGTGTGTGCAACAATTGCCATCGAAGTTGTGAGAGGAGAGAGCAAAATGCCTGTTCTAGAGCCTCTTCTTTACTATTTTACTGGTTTCACTGGGTACGTGCAAATGGCTTGGTTGTGTTGAGCGTGCTTTAAGTAAAAGTTTTCCCATCCCCAAACAGCACGTTACACATGTCGGGGACGTTATAAATGTGCTGCATGTGTTGCATGGCTGCACATCAGCTAGATGGAGCATGGCATGATTGCTGGTGCTTGGGTGTAAGTGATAAAGGCAGAAGCAGAGAATAAAAGCTGTCAGAGCTGTAAGGCAGAATTAATTTCTTTTAGGGATTTCCTGGTGACATCATTCATAATTATATGGCTTAATCCTCTAATCTACTGTAGTGCCTTCAGTTCACATTGGGCTGAATCCACCAAGTCCTGAGATGATTTCTGCTCCCGCCCACCTGCCTGGAGCATTTGGACTGTTGCTTGTGTAAGCCACTGATTTAAGGGGAATGGCCCAATTACTTTAAATAGGAATTGAAACCAGCATCATCCAGAATCGGGCCCAGGCATTGCACAGCTCTCCAGCGAGAGCAGACTGCTTCACGCTTAATTTTGACTTCAGAAAGAGATGGCATTTCCAGCTACTTGTTCCACTGGAGAGAGACAGCATGAAATACTAGCTGCAAGTGTGGTTGATATGCATGTGGTATCTTTCTGATAGACTGGGGGAGACCACAGGGGAAAAGGAAGACTTGGTTATCATACTGAAGCTGCTGATTTGTTGTTTATTAATTATTAACTCGGCATTTGAGTGCCTGCAGCCGTTTGAAGACCCAGCTCAGGAAAATGGCTAGGTATTTAAAGCAGTGTAGGCTCTTGCTAAATAGTTACTGTGACATAAGAAACGGTCTCTGTTTTCAGAAGTATTTTAAAAGCTGGAAGAGAACACACTGAAGCTGTCACACAGGATCCTTTGCCGGCATAAATCGAAGCCTGTGGAGCTACAGTGATGTATACTTGTTGAGCCTTGGGTATTCAGGGTGGAATAAACAGCTCTAATAGAGCAGTGGAGCTGCTGTGATTTATGGGAGTGCCTATACTTGCTCGCTGTGGTTTCTGTCCCCACCCTGTTGATGGCTGTGACAGAGCTTTCACTTACTTTAATGGGTTTGAGATTTGTCTTACTGAACACAGTTTGTCCTTTCTGTTGAGCAGGTTTTAGCACCTACTTGACCTCCCTTCATATCAGTAGATTATTGCTGATCTGAATAGATGTAAGCCCTTCCTAATGAGGGACAAAATACTCTGTTTCTCACAGGGACAGCCAACACTTGTCTTTGCTGCTAGGTAAATTCACACAATTTACATTGTGCTGCTTTTCTGCTGAATGAAAACACTGGAAGAATAACAAGTGCTTTCTTGTTTTGGTTCTGGTCCAGGAGAGGGAGGTGTTTGTAGTCACCAGTGTGGATGTTGTCAGTTGCGGTCATTGAGTGCCTGTGCTGAAAGTGAATGATAGTACAAAAAGCCCGATGGTGTTGCTGATTATCTGGGAAGTTTTTACCTTTGGAGAAGTTTATCTGGGTTCTCTAATATTCTCCCAATTCCAATTTTCTACAAAAATGTGTTTATCCCCATATCCTTATGTAAGCACTGGGTGTGTGGATGTGTCAGCACTCTTGGAGCTTCAGTTCCATCAGATGCCTCTAGATCTTAATTTTCCTTGTAGAGTAAGGTTGCTAGAGACCTCCTAAAGCTGCATTTTCTGTATTTTTTAATGCTCTGCCCCTTGTGGAGTAGAATCCTCTGTGTTAACAAAAGTTATTCCATCAACTTTTCATCCTTGAGGAAAAGAGAAAGTTCTGGAGTACAGAAGATTTATGAGTAGTATATGTAACTTGTTCATTCTGTGCACCTCAGTAATTTCTCAGAGCCTTTCAAAGAATCAAACTAGAGTACTTGCTGCTTAAATGATCCAGAAGTGTAGTCCTGGAATAACAAATCAATCAATTTAGGCCTGAATGTGAAGTCTACTTAGTGGAAATCAATCTGGACGTGCTTTCCAGGTAATGTCCTTGCTCCATGGAAGTCAATGGGACTTTTAGCATTGACTTCAGCTGTGTCAGGATTTCATTCTTGGACTTGTTACTAATGATGTTAGTGAAAAATGTAATTAGGAAAGTGTTTGGATTCCACACGAGCTATTTGACCTGTGTCTCAGGCACAGATCTCGCGTCACTCTTACTGCTGTTGAGAGAAACACTGGGGAATTTGGTGTGCTGACCATCAAACTGCCCTGCACTCCTCAACACAGCATTTTCGAACTTGTGGAGTTTGTGTCTTTTATGTCAATCCCATCAGGTCCCTAGTAGATTGAGGGTACCCAGGCTTTTCCTGGGCATAAGCCTTTTGTGAATGTCAGGTTTAGATTTCTGCTTTCCCAGCAGGTGCTCCTGCAGCCCAGAGGTGCAGCTGGCTGGGGTCAGTGGATGTGGGCTTTGGCAGCAGCAGAGGCAGTGTCAATACCTTGGTGTTTGAGTATCAAACAAAAAGGGAATCGAATACCTTGGTTCCCTTTTACTACCCAAGGCTCTTAGCCTCCAGGAGGGTGCTCTTTGCCCTGCTGCCACATCTGCTCCATGCTCCTTTGGTCCACTTGGGAACATGGATTAGGTTATGTGATGAGCTGTGGGATGCTCAGTTGGTCACAGCCAGGTAGGAAATGTGAGAGGAGTTTTCAGCCCTTACATCTCCCTGGAAGTAATGTAGCTAACAGATGAATGCTGCAAATCTCTCTTATGGTTTGGCCTAGGTGGTTATGCTTGTCTTTATTTATTACTCTTGAACCTTTTGAAGATACTGGATAAACGTATCAGTTCTAGAACATTTTAACATGTGCATAGTAAAATCTCTGAGAAGGAAATAGCTTAATTGAAAGACTTGGAATAGAATATCTTCTCTTTGCTGTCTCTGTTACTGTCTTATAAGTAATTACTGTGTACAGTGTGTGAGTGGGAAGGGACTAGAAATGTCTGTGCTAGATATTCTTCTCTGTTCTTTCATTACCTGATTTGAAATAAAAATTGATCTAACTCTCTCTGCCTCCAACAGCTGTAGGATTTGGAATGGATCCTGACTTACAAATTGATATCATCACAGAGCTGGATCTGGTGAATACAACCCTGGGGGTAACACAAGTGTCAGGACTGCACAATGCCAGCAAAGCCTTCTTATTCCAAGGTGAGAGACACATCCTCAGCTTTCTTATCTTGCCTCTGTCTGCATGAGCTCAGGACAGCTTTGATGCTTAAGGAGTTCCCTGTAATGGTGGCCTTACCTAACTATTGCTTTCTTTTATGTCTGTTTCTTGGAATTAGTTCTTGAAATACAGATGCTATTTTTTGTGTGTGTGCTGTCAGGTAGTTGCAAGGGAATTTTGGGTGTGTTTTCAATACTCCCTGGTATTTATTTCTCACTAAATATGTCAGAGTGGTTCCAATGGATGGGCTTGTGGGATTTTTTTTCTCTGTGATCTTATACATGCAGAGACACACAGCTAAAGCTGTGTAACTATGAGAAGGCATTTCATGTGTTGACACTGATTGGTAATGGAGCAAATCTTTCATCAACTTTGTGAAAACTGCTAAGGGGGCCAAAGAGGATGCTTCTGTATTTAAGTATCAAGGGCAAGATAAGGCACTTTGTGGTTTTTTCCCCCTTCATTAAGTATTCTAACACAAAGTTTGTGAAGTGTTTGAAAATTATGGGGTTTTTTTTTTGTATTTTTACTGAGTGAGATTCTGGATGTAGTTTTACAATGTATTTAGGTAAGGTCTAGATTAAGGAACACTGTCCTGGGGGTGGAAGCACTGAGTTGCTACCATGTGCTAATTAGGCAGGAAAGACATTTATATGATTTGAGATTAACATGTGAATTAAAGCACTATTGGAAACATTTTTATTGTGAAGGCTTCCTGGTTTTTTTTTGTTTTTTTTTTTTTTAATTTGGTTTAGTCAATGTTGAAGACCCTTTTTCTTATCTGTCTTCTGTAGCTGTTTTTAGAGGCAGATGATTATGATCTCATTCAGTTCTGGATCTGCAGTGCTGGCTGACTCTGCTGTAAATAACAAGGGAAGTGGGTCTGCAATCTTGGTTCATTCTTTATCTGGCCAAGGCCAGTTCAGGAGTCAGAGCAGAGCTGCTTCTGGAGACAACCTCAGGATTTGTTTTCTGTCTTTTATGATACAATAAATAGCTTAATTTTCACTGATTCCCAAATTAGTGTCCCGAAGAGCAGCGTTGATTATTTTCATTTAAAGATATCAGTTTTTTTTCTCTTGATACCCTGAGTCCAGGTTTGTGTATTATGGACAAATAATGCATTATAGTCAATCCTCTAAGGACTGCAGTGGCCTAAATTTGTTAATCATTCCAATTGCTATTCCATGCAGTTAATTGCAACCCCACTGATGAGTGCAATGTGAGTTTTCACAGACTGGAGGTCAGAGCTGTAGGGAAGAAGTCTGAGATGTTTTTGTCAGGACTTGGATTGAGACCACTGATACTGAAAGTAACTTTCAAAGGTTAATGGTGAAGATGTTTTGGATATTGTGTTCTTTTCTCCATCTGTAGTTTGGGAACTTAGGACTTGTATAAGAAAGGTGGAACTTAGAAAATCCATATGAATGGATGAGCTGAAGGATAGATGCCCATGGGAAGCAATAAACAAACAAACATTCACACTATGAAATGAATAAATAGTTTGAAGACTTAGTTAGGTACATAAAGCTTTTTTTTAATTCCCAGAACAGAAATGCTTTTTGCTAATGCACACAGGAATAGCCCTCTTCTTGAGGAAAGCCTCTAGTGTGAAACTTGTGGAAGGTGGCTCAGGAAAGTTGCTTTCTTCACTAAAGCTCCTCAGCCCTTGGGTCATGGGAACACTGAAGGCCTTTGCTGCCAGCTGGGACAGGATCTGGAGCTGCTCTGTTGTCTTCTTCCCTCCTTGCTCCTATCTGTGACTTGTTAAATGGCAGCAGTGTGTTGGCAGCTGGAGGGATTCCCTTTTACTAGCAGAGGTGACTTTACAGCTACAGCCTGGCTGTGGGCCGTGTCCTTTGGCTGCAGCCAGGAGATACTCACTCAGCTTTGAGTTTTATCTTGCCATACAGTAAAACCAGCTTAGAACTTGGAGTGTATGCGAGATTGCTATGTCTAAAATAGAAGTAATACTTTATTCCACAGAGATCCACAAAAAACCCTGGTCCAACATTGTGAAAAACGCCAATCGCTTGTTCTTAAAATTTTAAAAGTTTAATAGTCATAAAATGGTTATAAAAATAGTAATATAATTAGAGTAATACTAATTTGGACAATTTGAATCAGGACAATATGAGACAATAAAAAGAAAGCGTTATGGGTGGTCCAGGTGCCTTTTCTGGGCAGCACGAGCCCGAAAAAGGACCCACGTTAACAGAGGATTGACCCTTCAAAACAATAACATGTTGCATATTCATACCCCTCATCTATGATGCATAAATTCCATTCAAACACAGGATTCTGTCTGGCCAGTGTCAACTTCTTCCTCTGAATCCTGACAGCGTCTTTGAGGCAGGAAGAAGTTCATTTCTTCTGATTAGGGAGCAATAAATTCTCTTTCTCTGAAAGATTCAGGTGTCCTGTGGCTGCTATCTCAGTGCGAGTCCTTTCTTTAAAAAAGTATCCTACGTAGTGTAGTTTCTATTTTAACATTTTTTATAACCTAAAACTATATTTACCACATTACTTAAGAGAATTAACACAGTGTTACTTCCTAACACAACACGTATAATATTCATTTCAATATTTGCCAAAAGCCAATCATAAAATACATGCATTTTTCACAAACATGACACTCCCAGAGGAGAGAAGGCCTGGAAGTTAGTGCTGAGTTTCAAAATGACTGTATCCTCTTGGAGCAGCTGTTCCAGGCGGAAGGTGGGGTGCTTTCAGCACAGCTCTGCTCTGCTCAGTCCTCACCACATTTTCACAGTGGCAGTTCTGCCTGCCACCTCTGACAGCATGTATGGGGGCTCTGAGCTTACAGAAAAGCTCCCTGTGGAACATTTTCTGTCTTGTGAGATGAATTTGCTGAAATGGGTCTACTGGAGCTGTTCAAACTGAGAGCGTTCTTCTGTGTGTTCCAACAAGTGTGCATCTTGGAGGTAGAGAAATGGTAATTGTTTTCCCCAATCCAGACAGTTTTGTGTCCAGGGTAAGTCCAGGAAAATATGGAATGTTCTCCTAAGCAATTACTTTTTTGTGAATTAAACTATCTGAAAGAGAAAGCTCTGTAAGTTTTGAGCATTCTTGAAATGAAAAAGGGGGATGATATGAAGGTATACACAAAAAAAGGGGAAAATATTATTTTTAATTTGACTTTTCATCAGTGATAGCTCTCTTATGTAAATGACATACTGTTTGTTACAGAGTTTCTGGGGAGTGATGTCATGATTTAATTTATCCTAGAGAAGATGCAGAAAGGATTTTCTTTGAAGAGTTGGTCATTTCAGTCAGAGACCATCCCAGTAAAGCTGGTGGAGTATTCTGATTTTTTAATAATATTGGTGTGAACAGCCAAACCTCAGATTTCTGAGTGAAACAGATTTATAGGCTAAGAAACAAATCCAGCTCTGTTGCAAATTGTGTGACAGCGTGGTAGAACCAAAGTGGCAATTGAGAGATGTGGGTTGCCTTTGGGCAAGCAAATCTGTTCCTAATTCAGAAAAGCATAGAAACCTATAATTAAGTGTAGTCATCTGAGTTGTCCTGCTGGGCATGGGCTTTGATTGTTAGAGTATTTCAGCTGGATTTTTGATTGATCAGTTCCATTATTTGAATTTTTCAGTTCCATTCTCTATGAAAGGGGGATGAGGAAGTAAAAAACCAGAGCAGCGTAAGTGCTGACAATGTGCATTAGAGGAAATGTAGATGTATAACTCATAATTGCAATTCTGCAAACAGTCTGATTCTTAAGATCCATAACGTTCTGGTGTCTTAATTATTTGTCTTTTATTAACTTTCACCCACAAACATGGGAGAGGATGCCTTTGTGGGCAGATGATTTGCTCTAGCATGAAGGGGCAAAGGAGGGTGAGTGGAGATTGTTGATGGGTGCTTTTGGGGAATGGGGCACCCATGACACTGATGTCTGACCCACATCTTCAGCTAGGAGGCCAGGGGAGTCAAGGAAATGGTTGTGGGGCTGGGTGGAAAATCTGTCTCAAATAAATATACTGAAAATAGGAACTTTTCACCTAATAACGTGCCTTACAATGACATCTGACAAACATGGAATGAAAGACATCTACAAATAGTGTCTTACAGGCATGAGAAATGAACAGGATCAGCACAGGATTATACTGTAAACTGCAGATAATACAATTAATGCAAATAATAAATACTGTAAATAGTGCATTAAGGAATCCTGAGCTCCCTTGCTGGGGCTCAGTCCTGTTCTCTGTTTCAGATAGCAGAGAACAGGGCTTGTCCTGACTTTGGCTTACCAGGATCTTGAATTCAGTGGCACAGGAAAGCTCTGATGATAACTGAGGCTAAAATAAGGCAAAACTGGTCATCCTGTTTCTAGGTAGACTGAGAGCAGTTTTTAGCCTAGCTGTTTAAGATGTGATTACTTGAACCAGTCTGACTTTTGTTCCATGCTCAGTTTGTGTTGTGGAAATAAGATTTTATTCCTTTTATAACCTGTCAGCTATGCCTATTTCTTTTTAATTTTTCCTGCAACATCTCTTTGGATTTAACAGAGACTTAAAACCTTTATTTACGAAACAGTTCCCTCCCAGCCCTGAAAGTTTATTAAGGCTTTGCTGTTTCCTTTACTGGCAATCTGGCACTATTTTTCAACTTAGCCTTTAAATTAGGAATGGTGTTTTACTACGTGTGCTATGTTTAGCGCTCAGCAAAAGAAACCACTGAGTACACTTCAAAGTCTGGAGATGTGCAGTGCTGTGTTCTTGGCCATTTCTTGCCTTGTGTTACACAGGCCCTGGATGTGAGAGAAACACCTGGCCTGGAGCTGCTGCAGCAGGGTTCAGTCATGCTCCTTATTCCCACCTTGTAGCAGACACTGCTGACTGCTTTTCTGTGCACTCGTGGCTCCTACAGCAAAGGTGAAAGAATAACAAATGTCTTACAGCGTAGAGAAAGGCAATGCTTTTGTGAGAAAAAGAGTGAAACTCAT